TGGCATCGTGTACCCTCTGAATCCTTCAATCACATGGTCGGGACCTCACACAGGGAGCGTGCACAATCCAAATTGGTGGGTACCGTTTATGAACCTGCACTGCCACCGACCGGCCATTTATATACAGCGGCCGGACGGCAAGTGGTTAAACCCCGCACACACGATGAGAACATCGAACAAATTATTGTATTTTTTTTTTTTTTGCATGCTAGTCTCATATCAAAGAGGTTACTAAATTTACACAAATTCTTGTAGGACAGAATAAAAATTTGGAAGTGATATAATTGTATTGTATTTTCAGACAAAAACAGTACTGAGTAAATGATAATCGTACGATCTGGTATCATACGAGAAAAATGAACGTGCTTGTCCCGTCTAATCATTTTGCAGGAAAACTGTGTACCAATGATGAGATTATTATTCTTCCCCCCCCCCACACACCCAAAAATTTCACCCAAGGCATACACCTTGATTGCCTCGCGGTAAATACGCCCCAACATATGATGCTGAGCCTCCATGATGAAAAGAACTAAAGACAAATGAGTAAAATGGGCAGGAGATAGGCAGGAGAATCAAGTGCTAGATGATGCTGTGTCCTCCATCCAGCATGTGAGGCGAGACTTGCTGCAGCTTCTAATGTACATTGTGGGGAGCTCACAGTATGCAGTGAAATCAGAGTGAGCCATTTCAGTCCAGGAGATGAGCCGGTACAACTGTGCAAGACTGAAGGCCGGAGGTTGAATTTAAAAACAGTTTCTCATTATTGCTAGTTTAGTTTAGAAGGACAGAAAGACTTTCATGAGAATGTATCTCAGCAAAAGTCTCACTGATGCATTCCTATTATTATTATACAGGATTTATATATTATTATTATACAGGATTTATATATTATTATACAGGATTTATATATTATTATACAGGATTTATATATTATTATTATACAGGATTTATGGCGCCAACAGTTTGCTCAGCGCTTTACAATATAATGGGAGACAATACAGCAACAATACAGTTCAATACAAGAGGGATAGGAGGACCTGATCCTGGGAGCTTACAATCTAGGAGGGAGGGGCTAGTGGTACAAAAGGTAGTAACTGTGGGGGATGGACTGGTTGGAAGAGTAGAAGATTCCATTATTAGCTGAGGGCAGGATAGGCTTCCCTGAAGAGATCGGTTTTCAGAGATTGAAAAGTGAGCAGAGTAGGCGATAGTCTGATAAATTGGGGTAGAGAGTTCCAGAGGATGGGGGAAGCTGTGGAGAAGTCCTGGAGATGAGCATGGGAGGATGAGACAAGGGAGCTAGAGAGCAGGAGGTCGTGGGAGGAGCGGAGAGTACGGTTTAGGTGATATTTGGAGACAAGATCGGTGATGTAATTTGGGGCAGAGTTATAAATGGCTTTATATGTTATTGTTAATGTTTTGAATTTTATCCGTTCGGCAATCAGAAGCCAGTGGAGGGATTGGCAGAGAGGGGTGGAGGACACTGAATGGAGGCCAGTGGAGGGATTGGCAGAGAGGGGTGGAGGACACTGAGTGGAGGCCAGTGGAGGGATTGGCAGAGAGGGGTGGAGGACACTGAATGGAGGCCAGTGGAGGGATTGGCAGAGAGGGGTGGAGGACACGGAGTGGAGGCCAGTGGAGGGATTGGCAGAGAGGGATGGAGAACACTGAGTGGAGGCCAGTGGAGGGACTGGCAGAGAGGGGTGGAGGACACTGAGTGGAGGCCAGTGGAGGGATTGGCAGAGGGGGTGGAGGACACTGAGTGGAGGCCAGTGGAGGGATTGGCAGAGAAGGGTGGAGGACACTGAGTGGAGGTCAGTGGAGGGATTGGCAGAGAGGGGTGGAGGACACTGAGTGGAGGTTAGTGGAGGGATTGGCAGAGAGGGGTGGAGGACACTGAATGGAGGCCAGTGGAGGGATTGGCAGAGAGGGGTGGAGGACACTGAATGGAAGCCAGTGGAGGGATTTGCAGAGAGGGGTGGAGGACACTGAATGGAGGCCAGTGGAGGGATTGGCAGAGAGGGGTGGAGGACACTGAGTGGAGGCCAGTGGAGGGATTGGCAGAGAGGGGTGGAGGACACTGAATGGAGGCCAGTGGAGGGATTGGCAGAGAGGGGTGGAGGACACTGAGTGGAGGCCAGTGGAGGGATTGGCAGAGAGGGATGGCAGATACAGAACGGTTAGTAAGGTGGATGAGTCTGGCAGCAGCATTCATGATAGACTGGAGGGGGATAGCCTGCGGTGAGGTCGGCCAATGAGGAGGGAGTTACAATAGTCAAGGCGGGATATAACAAGAGAGTGATTAAGTTGCTTCGTGGTTTCCGAGGTTAGGAACGGGCGTATCTTGGAGATTTATCTCAGTAAAAATCTCTGATGCATTCCTGTAACATATGTCATTCTATAGATCCATGTTTATCCTCTCAGGTGTGACATACATGGAACATATTGGTATTCTCAGCCTCTCTGGTGTGACGTCAGTAGAAGGCGTTCGATCTGCCAGAGGAGGAATCTTTGAAGTTTCGGGGTTGTGTGTACACAGGTTTATTCTCAGGGACCATGTGAAGTTCCAGACGTGGCAGGTGTTTGCACAGCTCAGGGAACACGCAGTCTCATGCCGGAATTTTACAATAACATGACTCGGAGCTAATGGATATATAATTGTTTGTTCTTTTTATTGTTCTCTATGACCTTTCACAGACACTCGCCTTATCTCCCGCACTAAGTAAATGTAAATACAGCAGCTGTGGAGCCAATACCGGGCCTACAATTCCTAATCCCCAGCGCATGTTCGGCGAGGACACATCGGAAACATTTTGTAACATTTGCCTTCATCAAAATATTTTTCTCAAGGAGTCTGATCATTGCCCACATACAGTATTGCTGCCCCCAATACATGCAGTACAGGCGTACCTCGGTTTACGGAACTCTCGGTTTACAAATGAAAATCCATTGAAAATAATGCCTCGGTTTACAAATTTTTTTTCGCAATACGAAGCAAGTTTCCCCAGGATGCATTGCTCCTGGAAGGTTTATAACACCGGCCCCGTGCCTTTAAAGTGCACTTTTTAAAGAGTTTTGAACAGATAAGACTTTTTTTTTTTTACTTTTTTTTGAACTCCGGAACGGATTAATTGGTTTTCAATGCATTTACAATTTTTTTTTTGCAATACGAAGCAAGTTTTCCCAGGATGCACTGCGCCTGGGAGGTTTATAGTGCCGCCCCGTGCCTTTAAAGTGCACTTTTTAAAGAGTTTTGAACAGATATAACTTTTTTTTAAATTTTTTTTTGACCTCTGGAATGGATTAATTGGTTTTCAATGCACTTACAAGTTTTCCCAAAATGCATTGCACCTGGAAGGTTTATAGTGCCGGCCCCGTGCATGCTGGAGTCTGCGAGTAGCATGTGGTGTCGAGTGTGGAGGTGTTGGAGCGGTTTTTAAATCGAGAGAGATTTGTAGTCATTCTGGAAATCATGTCCCTGTACAGTATTTATGCCTTTAAAGTGAACTTAATAAAGAGTTTTGAACAGATAAAAGACTTTTTCTTTACTTTTTTCTGACCTCCGGAACGGATTAATTGGTTTTCAATGCATTTACGAATTTTTTTTCACAATATGAAGCAAGTTTCTCCAGGATGAATTGCGCCTGGGAAGTTTATAGTGCTGGCCCCGTGCATGCTGGAGTCTGCGAGTAGCATGTGGTGTCGAGTGTGGAGGTGTTGGAGTGGTTTTTGCATCAAGATTTGTAGCCATTCTGGAAATCATGCCCCTGTACAGTATTTATGCCTTTAAAGTGCACTTTATAAAGAGTTTTGAACAGATAAAATACTTTTAACTTTTTTTCTGACCTCCGGAACGGATTAATTTGTTTTCAGTGCATTTACAAATTTTTTTTTCGCAATACGTAGCAAGTTTCTCCAGGATGAATTGCGCCTGGAAGGTTTATAGCGCCGGCACCGTGCATGCTGGAGTCTGTGGGTAGCACGTGGCGTCGAGTGTGGAGGTGTTGGAGCCATTCTGGAAATTTTTTATCATGTCCCTGTACAGTATTTATGCCTTTAAAGTGCACTTTTTAAAGAGTTTTGAACAGATAAAATCCTTTTTTTTTACTTTTTTCTGACCTGAAAATTGGTTTTCAATGCATTCCTATGGGAAACCACATTTCGGTTTACAAATTTTTTGCAATTCGAAATGTCCTGGAGAACGCATTAAATTCGTAAACCGAGGTACGTCTGTATATAAAATAAACTAAACACAGAGGATAATATGTATCATTTGATTACAATATTATTTCCATACTTAACCCCTCGCCCTCCAGAGGATTTCCCCCCCTTCCTAACCAGGCAATTTTTTGCGATTCAGTGTTGCATTACTTTAACAGACAATTACACTGTCATGCAACGCTGTACATAAATGGAATGTACGTCCTTTTTTCCCCACAAATGGAGTTTTCTTTGGGTGGTATTTGATCACCTGTGCATTTTTTATTTTTTGCGCTATAAACAAAAAAAAGACCGAAAATTTAGAAAAAAAAAAACCCCAAAACATTATTTTTGACTTTTTGCTATAAAACATAACCAGTAAAAAAAAAAAGTAAAAATCAAATTTTGTCATAAATTTAGGGAAAAATGTATTCTGCTCCGTGTCTTTGCTGAAAAAAAATACCAATACATGTAAATTAATTGGTTTACGTGAAAGTTATGGCATCTACAAATGGTATATATACTGGATTTTTTTATATATACTAGTAATGGCGGCGATCAGCGACTTATAGCGGGACTGCGGCGGGCATTCTGACACTGGGGGGGGGAATTACTGTCACTGACATCACCAGTGACACCAATACAGTGATCAGTGCTAATAAAAAGCACTGACAGTGTACTAATGGCACTGGGCAGGAAGGGGTTAACATCTGGGGCAATCAAAACTGTGCGCTGTTTAACATAATGTGCTGTGTGTTTTACTTGGGAGACATGCTGCTGTGTACTTCTCTACTGTGCAGCATGTCCTTGCTGGCAGTAAAGAGATCTGTGTTGTTTACACACAGGTCCAGGGGTGGACTGACAACTCATGGGGCCCCCGGGCAATAGGGGATCATGGGGCCCCTGTGTCCTTGCCCAAACTCGAAAAAGCCTATGAAAAAGGTACCAGGGGCATCTCATGGGGCCCCCTACTGACCCCGGGCAGTGCCCGAGTTTCCAAATGGTCAGTCCGCCCCTGCTCATAGGGCCCCCGGGCAATAGGGGATCATGGGGCCCCTGTGTCCTTGCCCACACTCAAAGAACACCCAAAAAAGCCTATAAAAAGGTACCAGGGGCATTTCATGGGGCCCCCTACTGACCCCGGGCCCTTGGGCAGTGCCCAAGCGCCCGAATGGTCAGTCTGCCCTGCACAGGTCTCTCCTTTGTCAGTGTTATTCGGAGATCGCCGGGTGCCGGTTCGGAATCTCAGGACGGGACCCGGTGATTGACATCTATAGCCGCCAATGGCGGTGCGGGTAGGCCCCCTACCTAGAAACGCAAATCACGTATATATACACACACACACACACGTGATTTTGCACAGCCCTGCCAACCCTGTAGCAGTATTTCTGCTATAGGGCGGAGGGAAAGCGGTTAAAGCAGAGTTCCACCCAAAAGTGGAAGCACCTTTTTCTGCCTCCTCCACCCCCTCCACTGCCAGGTACCTGGTTTTGGGCGTCCCCGCCCACAGCCCTCTGGGACACTTTAAAGGTCCCAGAGGACTGCTGCCCATTCACAAAGCACAGGGCTGTAGTAAACTGGCTGTGAAGCTGCAAGGCTTCACTGCTGGTTTCCCTTAGTCAAGATGGTGGCGCCAGCACCCGACAGCCGACTGGAGAATCGGCTTGGGGTGAGGACACCGCTGGATCCCTGGACAGGTAAGTGCCCTAGTATTGAAAAGTCAGCAGCTACAGGATTTGATCAGGGATAGGCAACCTTAGCAATCCATCTGTGGTGAAACTACAAATCCCATCATGTTACCCTTCTCGGAGTCATGCCTATGGCTGTCTTGCCACAGCTGGAGTGCCAAGGTTGCCTACCCCTGTGGGCAGAGATGAACAGGTCTACCATAGCTGTGCACCAGCAAGGTAACGTGACCTTCCCTCTCTTCCCTGTGTGGAATGGTGCTCTCAGACAATACAGTGTATTTGGGGGTTGGGTGAGGACTATTGACCACTTCCCATCCAGCCCATGTAGATAAAACGGCCAGTTGCGAGCGCTGCCGAAGCGGGTTGACGTTTCTAAACGTCCCCCTGCATCCATTGCCTGTGCACGCTCCCTGGGAACACAGATCGTTGTACGGGACCGCTGTGTGAGGTCCCAATCATGTGATCACTGATTGGCTAATCAGTGATCACATGCAGAGTAGTAAACAAGATTTTTGAGCTATATTCATTTCCAGCACAGAGGTACTTTATTATATTTACATATTTATTGATTGATTTAATAATTTATTAGATTTTTTTGAGGATTTTTTGAAGATTGGTATAGGAAGTATATTTAATTTTTATATACACATTTTTATGGTGTTATTTAATATAATTTAATTAAATTTAACGATTAGTATAATCTGGTGGAGCGCGACACACATGAAATTTATCATTAAACAAGATGTCACTTCTGACATCATTGCTTACTACGTGTGAAATCTGTGAATGATCACAGAGGTCACATGGTACAGAGCCATTTACAACAGCCTTGTACCATGTGACAAGCTGTGACCAATCACAGCTCACACAGTATTTCTCAATGGCTGCAGGAATGCAGCCAGAGAGAAGGGAGAAATGATTGCTTTTACAGCCTTTATGGGCGTAAAAGTAATCAGTGTAAAAAAAGAAAAAATATATATTCATCACCCATCACAAGTAGTACAGTGTCACCATGGTGACACTGTACTGCTAGGGTGACGGTATGTTAAAAAAAAAAAAAAAACAGATAGTATAAAAAAATAAAATAAAAATGTAAAAAAATGTTTTTGAAAAATTATAATTTTTGGTTATAAACTTAATTTGGGTTATTTTTTTTTTACTAAAAAGATAGATGAATACATTTTGGCCAAGATTTATGAAGAAAGATTTATTTGCAAAATTTTATAAGAAAACCGCTTTTTTTTTTTTTCAAAATGTTTGGACTTTTTCATTTAGATAGCAAAAAAATAAAAATTCCAGTGGTGAATAAATACCACCAAAAGAAAGCTCTATCTCTCTAAAAAAAGAAAAAAAATGCTAAAAAATTCATATGGGTACAGTGTTGCATGACCGCGCAATTGTCATCCAAAGTGTGATAGCGCTGAAAGCTGAAAATTGGCCTGGACTGGAAGGGGGGGGAAAGTGTCCGGACTGGAAGGAGGGGAAAGTGTCCGGACTGGAAGGGGGGTGAAAGTGTCCGAACTGGAAGGGGGTGAAAGTGTCCGGACTGGAAGGGGGTGAAAGTGTCCGGACTGGAAGGAGGGGAAAGTGTCCGGACTGGAAGGGGGTGAAAGTGTCCGAACTGGAAGGGGGGTGAAAGTGTCCGGACTGGAAGGGGGTGAAAGTGTCCGGACTGGAAGGGGGGAAAGTGTCCGGACTGGAAGGGGGTGAAAGTGTCCGGACTGGAGGGGGGTGAAAGTGTCCAGACTGGAAGGGGGGGAAAGTGTCCGGACTGGAAGGGGGTGAAAGTGTCTGGACTGGAAGGGGGTGAAAGTGTCTGGACTGGAAGGGGGGTGAAAGTGTCTGGACTGGAAGGGGGTGAAAGTGTCCGGACTGGAAGGGGGTGAAAGTGTCCGGACTGGAAGGGGGGGAAAGTGTCCGGACTGGAAGGGGGGGAAAGTGTCCGGACTGGAAGGGGGGGAAAGTGTCTGGACTGGAAGGGGGGGTGAAAGTGTCTGGACTGGAAGGGGGTGAAAGTGTCTGGACTGGAAGGGGGTGAAAGTGTCTGGACTGGAAGGGGGTGAAAGTGTCTGGACTGGAAGGGGGTGAAAGTGTCCGGACTGGAAGGGGGTGAAAGTGTCCGGACTGGAAGGGGGGGAAAGTGTCCGGACTGGAAGGGGGGGAATTGGCCCTAGTATGTGTATGTATGAATGTAAGTTAGGGACCTTAGATTGTACGCCCCTTGAGGGTTAGGGACCTTAGATTGTACGCCCCCTGAGGGTTAGGGACCTTAGATTGTACGCCCCTTGAGGGTTAGGGACCTTAGATTGTACGCCCCTTGAGGGTTAGGGACCTTAGATTGTACGCCCCCTGAGGGTTAGGGACCTTAGATTGTACACCCCTTGAGGGTTAGGGACCTTAGATTGTACGCCCCCTGAGGGTTAGGGACCTTAGATTGTACACCCCTTGAGGGTTAGGGACCTTAGATTGTACGCCCCTTGAGGGTTAGGGACCTTAGATTGTACGCCCCTGAGGGTTAGGGACCTTAGATTGTACGCCCCTTGAGGGTCATGGACCTTAGATTGTACGCCCCTTGAGGGTTAGGGACCTTAGATTGTACGCCCCTTGAGGGTTAGGGACCTTAGATTGTACGCCCCTTGAGGGTTAGGGACCTTAGATTGTACGCCCCTTGAGGGTTAGGGACTGATGTGAATGTATAATATATATGTAAAGTGCTGCGTAAATTGACGGCGCTATATAAGTACCTGAAATAAATAAGAATTATCATTTGATTCCCTGTCTGGTTTGTCCTCTCTACAGTCTTGCCAAGCGGAGCTCCAGATCGGGACATGTTTCCAGGCCATAAACAACCGCATTCAGCTCCAGATTCTCAAAGCTCAGAACCTGCCCAGCTCCCTGACGCCGCTCTCTATAAGTACGTATGTTCTTCTTAAACGTAAAGTCAGTGGGCTCTTTATCTACCACTTTTGATGAAGTCCGCTGGACTGGATACACATGGCTTCAGGCCAGAGGCGTCCCTAGGGTTGGTGTCAGGGGTGTATCTACCTCAAGGCAAACAAGGCATTTGCCTAGGGCGGCAATTTTCAGGGGGGGGGGCAGCACTGTCACTCGGAAGGAGGGACACACACGACATGGGGACCTGGTGGGTTCTGAGAGAGACTGCGGGTTTCATGATGGTGTATGCACAGCCTGACTCTTGTTCCCAGGGGGTGTCCAGAGCTGTGAAGGCGGGTGTCTTCTTCTGTCTTGCCGTGGCAGATGGTGGCTGGGGTATGGGGGGCAGTGGTAGTGGAAGACCCTCCATGCAGGGGGGGGGGCGCTGATTTTGTGTTGCCTAGGGCAGCACAAAACCTAAATACAACACTGGTTGGTGTCACCCATCCACAGAGGAAGGAACGGTGCCGGTGTAGCAGTAAAATGAGTATCCCGTGAAGATATGTATCCCCTGAAGTAACTGCACATGTGCGGGGGTGCAGGTCGAAGAATCCGATCTCCTACTTTAGCACAGAGCCGGCAATCGGCTTCTTCGGCCTGAAACCGGCACATGCACAGTTGCTTCAGGGGATACTCACTGTGCCGACATCCTGCTCCTGCACCCCCTGTGATGGTGTCACCAGGGGTGGACTGGCAACTCATGGGGCCCCCGGGCAACAGGGGATCATGGGGCCCCTGTGTCCTCGCCCACACTCAAACTACACCCAAAACAGCCTATGAAAGGTACCAGGGGCATCTCATGGGGCCCCCTACTGACCCTGGGCCCTCGGGCAGTGACTGAGCGCCGGAATGGTCAGTCCGCCCCTGGGTGTCACCCAGTGTGGCCCGCACCCCCCTAGGGATGCCACTGGTTCTGGCTACAGAAAATCATCCCCTGGCTGAGATGTCGGGGTGGCATTTTTCTCCATTCCAATTGAATAGCTAATCACAGCCTGAATCCTGCAAACAATGTTTGGCTTCCATGCTGAACCTCCTCAAATCACTTGCATGGGCGCTAAACCATTGTTTGATACAATGGATCAGCTACATCATTTAGGAAATAATTTTTTCTTCAGCTTTAAAAAGGGAAAAAAAAGCTTAACAATAAGTCGTGACTGATTGCTTCAGGTTCAATTCATCTTCAAATATACAGCAGAAACCTTGTTCAGCTCACCCTACTTCCCCTTCCCAGCAGTGATTTGGCCACCTTCCAGCCTTTTTATATCTAATGTAAACAAAGAGCAAATACACAGAAAAAGAGGGGAGAGTCGAACATGGAGG